CCGCCACCCCTTCCCCGGCCGGCCGCGCCGGCAACCTCTTTGAGGCCGCCGCCGCCGCACAGCAGGCAGGTCGAGGTGGTGCACGCGGTGCTGGTGCTGCTGGCGCCGGTGCCGGGGCAGGCGCAGGCGCAGGCGCCGGTGCGGGCGCAGCGAGCCTGCTCGGCGAAGACGACGGCTCGGGCGAACAGGTGATCGACCTGGGCAACCCAGCGATGCTGGCGCAGCTGCAGCAGCTGGTGCAGCAGAACCCGGCGGCGCTCCAGCCGCTCGTCCAGGCCATCGCCCAGTCCAATCCGCAGCTGGCGGAAGCCATGAACCACGATCCGCAGGGCGTGCTCTCGCTGCTCGCCGGCGGCGCGGGCGGCGCGGGCGAGGAGATGGAGCTGCCCACGCTCGCCGAACTGAGCGACGAGGACCGCGCCGGCGTCGAGCAGATCGTCGCCATGGGCATTCCCGAGGACAAGGCGATCGAGTCGTTCTTCATGTGCGGCAAAAACGTAGAGATGGCCGTACAGTACTACTTTGAGAACCCGCAGGATTTCGACGATTAAGTCGGGATGCAAAGCGGGCGTTGGTAATTGGGATTGGTCTCAGCATTCAGCATTCGCGCGTGCCGTTGCGCGTGTAAGGTGAGGGCGTGTCGCGGGCAGATTGTCAAAGAGCGACGAGGCGGTGAGGTTGGCGAGCCAGTCTTTGTAGGACTGTGCAGCGGGTGTGGCGCGGACAAAGACGAGCGTTCGGGAAGCGTTGGGGTTGAGGAAGAAGGCGTTGGTGGGGGCGAGGGTTGTGGGGCGGGCAAAGTAGCCGGGCGTGTTGGAGGTGAGTGTGAGCCAGGGTGCGGTAGCCGTGCCTGTATTGGTGATTCTGATGTGCCAGTGCTGTGCGTCCGGGGGATGGTGGGCATGCAGTGTGATATGCGGTCGGGCGTGCGCAGAGAGCTGAGCAAGCGACGCGGTGAGAGACGGCATGTGTGTCCAGTAACTCACCACGTCGGCGCTAGGGAGGGTGAGGCGGACGTAGCAAGGTGTGGCTCCGCACAGCTCGGTCGCGTTCAGCTGCCAAGCACACCACCACCCGACGTCTTGCTCGACGTGTACCTCGAAGCGACGCTGCTCAAGCAGCGTGCCGTAGAAATCGAACCACTCAACCATCAAACTGTACCCTCGCGCACTGCGTGTTGCGCCGGTGTAGACTACACCAATATCGAGCATGCTGTCCGAGGCATTGTAGATCGCCACGGGGGCTACGGGGGCTTGCGCGCAAGCGAGCGTGTAGTGCGCGAGCTTCCAGCGGCCCGAATACTCGATGCTCGCCCACGTCGTTCCCGTCCACACGTCGTTGAGCTGCCACACGATCAGGCCGCGGTTGCGTTCCTCGCGCGCTGCGCCGCGGCGGTACACGGCAACCTGGTTGGCTACGAACAAAGCGTGGTAGAGCTGGCTCGACTCGGCCCAACGCCGCAACAATGCACGGCCATTCTTGCCCGACTGGTCCGGATCGGGAAACCACGTCTGCACGCCTGCCTTTAGCTGCTGCATTCCTTCGTCGGCGGCAAAGGGGTAGCTGAGGTTGCCTGCCGGAGGATGCTTGAGATGCGCACGCATCACGGTCGAGTCAACGGCGCATGCCGACCCTCTGGAATCGCCACACGAGCTGGGCAAGACAGCATCGAGTGCATGAATGGAGGGCAGGGAGAACATGCCGAACTCGACCATGAAGCGCACGCGCGGGTAGCTCGCAATGTCCCACGCACGTGCGGCGTCATATCCATAGTGCTCCCCTGTACCGTGCAGCTCGTTGTGCGGGTACGCCGTATAGCGCCCGCGGTACGGCTGCAGCGACACGTAGCCCGTGGTTGTAGAGCACGGAATGTACGAAAGCGCGCGGCTGGTGTCGAGTACCTCGTTGCGCACTGCGTGGTCGAAGAGCACCTCGTAGGCGCGCTTCCATTCTGCATCGCGCGTGCGTTGGCCGTAGCCACCAAGAAAGTAGAGCTCGCCCTCGTTGTTGCCCACCACGGCGACGACGCTCGGATGCGAGACAGCGCTTGCGACAGCCTGCGCCACCTCGGTGCGCACCTCGGCTAGGAATGCATCGTGATTCGGGTACAGGGATGCGGCGAACATGGTGTCGAGCCAGACTAGCATGCCCATTTGATCGCACGCATCGAGAAGCTCGCGCGAGGGATAGCTGGCGCCGCCCCAGATGCGCAGCAGGTTGACGTGCGCCGCAGCGGCCGAGTCGAGCAGCCAGTGCATGTACGCCGGCGCCGCGCGCGGACCGAGCGTGTCGAGCGGGATGAGGCTCGTGCCCACCACGTACACCTCGCGTCCGTTGACGAGCAGGCGAAAGTGCGAGCCCGGTTGCACGCGCTCCGATCGTGCCTGTGCGGGCGGGATGCGCTCGAGATCCAGCACGGCTGTGCGGAATCCAACGCGGCGGCGCACATGGATGTGCAGCTCGTCGCTGTGTACTTGCAGGGTGTACAGCCTCGGCTCGCCGTACCCGCGCGGCCACCAGAGCAAAGGTGCACCCTGCCCACTGCTGTGCAGCTCAAACGCCGCGTGCACCCGCTCATTCAGTCCGGCCTCGATGACAGGCAGCGACAGCAGCGTGTCGGGCATAGCGACGCCCAGCGATGGGATCGCCATGCGCACCGTTGGCCGCACAACCCGACGCGCCGCGAGCAGCGTGAGCGACACATTGACCACCCAGTTTGCCTCAGGATCCGGCGGCACAAGGTTGTTCGTCTGCCCCTTGCGGTAGACGTCGACGTGCCAATCCACGACATGCACCGCCTGGTGCAGCTCGTGGACCTCACCGGAGGATACATCGCCAAGCTGCACGAGGTATGCCGGCTTGTGCGGGCCGGCAGGCACCAGGGCGGGACCCCAGTCCCAGCCAAAGTCGGACTGCTGCTTGCGCACAAAGATGCGGTGCGGATAGGCATAGTCGGACGTGCGCGAGCGCCTGGGGTTCTCGACCTGGTTCGGATAGCCCGGATCAAACCGGCGCGCCTGCTCGGCCGCATAGGTGTTGGTATTGTGAAAGACGAGCGTGAGGTTGGTGTGCTGCGCGCATGGCTGCTGCAGCAGGTGCGAGGGGATGCGCACGGCGTGCCAGATGTGTTGGTTGCGCGTATGCAGAAGGCGCTCTCCGCCCAGCAACACATCGGCGACGGTGTCGAGACCGTCAAAGTGGAGCCAGTACTGGTGCTGGGAGGGCTTGTGCGTCGCGCGGATCTGGTCGAGGATGGGGGCCAGATCAGCCGTGTATGTCCACGTGGGCTCATCGGCGATCCAGCGCTGGTCGCCCTCGTTGAGTCCGACGGCAGGATCCAGGATGATGCCCGCGCGGAGCAGGTCCAGATGCACGAGCGACGGTAGCAAGGCATCGACGCTGATGGAGCGGTTGGTGTTGGTGAGCGTCCAGCGCAGGTGGCCGGGCGCTGCTTGTGCACGCCAGCCCTGCAGAGGGTCGCCGGTGTCATCGTCAATGGCCGCGGCGTTGCTGCGCGGCCGCGGAGGGAACGCTTGGTGGTGTGTCTCGGGCGTAGATAGCGACCAGACCCTCGCCTTTGAGTTGGAACGTACCACCTCGGGCGGCAGCTGCCATGGCTGCTGATGCTTTGCTAGCCCGAGCGCGGCAGAGGCGAGCAGCCAGGCAGTCGCGACGAGAAGCTGATGCATGACATGCGGCGTAATCAAGGCGTGCCAAACCCGACGCCGCCCAGCCCAGAAGGCATTTTGTGCGGGTGGAGTGGGCGAGCTTTAAAAGGGCGCCTTGAGCGTGAGTCCGTTCTGACAAGGATTCGCTTCGTAATGCGGCGGCTAGTTGGTGCCAGCGGACCCTGCATGGGCGCACGAGCCGTGCCAAGAAGAGGCGCTGCTGTGCTACAGTGCTATCATCCTCTCGCTGCAGCTTACTGCCTCGGACAGAGAAAGCCGTGATTTCCTGGCAAATTCGCCGGCGCTGGTCGGTAAGCCGAGTGCGGGGGATGCTGTTGATTGGGTGCACCATGGGAATGTGGGGAATGCCCCGCCTTGACCAACGATCAGCGACTTGCGAGCACTCCACCCTTTCGCAGCGATATAAGTGCAAGCCAGCTTCAACCCACCTCGTCTTCATCAGCTGGCTTTCCGCCTTCATCAGCTCGCTTTCCGCAATGACCTCTGCAACTTCAGCAACCGCTGCGCCCTCTTCCGATGGTGGGCGCAAGGACTTCAATGTGGCCGTGGTGGGCGGTGGGATTGGCGGCCTGACGCTTGCCATTGGCCTGCACGATCGCGGCGTGCCCGTACACATCTTCGAGAGCGCATCCAAGTTCGCCGAGATCGGTGCGGGGATTGCGATTGGACCGAATGCGCAGAATGCGCTGCAGCGTCTGGGGCTCTACGAGAGCTTTCTGCAGTTTGCCGACTTTCCGTCGCGCAACCTCTTCTTCCAGTGGCGCATGGGCGAGGGCGAGGAGCAGCGTCTGCTGTCCGAGACCATCTGCAAGCAGTACGGCATGGCGAGCATCCACCGTGCGGAGCTGCTCGACACGTTTGTCAAGCGCATGCCCACCGAGCTGTGCAGCTTTGGCAAGCGGCTCAAGGACATCCAGCAGCCCGAGTCGGCCGAGGGCAAGGTGCGCATCACCTTTGAGGACGGCTCCACCCACGACGCCGACCTGGTGATCGGCTGCGATGGCATCCACAGCCGCGTTCGAGGTGCGCTGGATCGTGCCACCGCCGGACCCTCGGCCGTCGCCGGCTCCGACTCGCTGGTGTGGAGTGGCAGCTGGGCCTACCGTGGGCTGATCCCGCGCGAGCGGTTCGTGGCTGCGCTGGGCAAGGAAAAGGGCGAGTTTTACGCCGACACGGCGCAGATGCTGCTGGCCAAGGACTCGCACGTTCTCATCTTCCCCATCCACGGCGGCAAGACGGTCAACATTGTGGCCTTCCGCACCGACCGTTCGCGCTGGCCGCAACGCACGCCGTTCCCCAAGGGCGAGGCTTGGATCCAAGAGACGAGCAAGGAGGAGCTGATGCGCGACTTTGCCAACTACAGCTCGGACGTGGTCAAGATGGTGGAGTGCATCGACAAGCCGAGCAAGTGGGCGCTGCATCAGGTGGTGCCGTCGCTCACCTCGTACATCAACGGGCGCGTGATTGTGGCGGGCGATGCGGCGCACGGTGGAGTGCCGCACCAGGGCGCCATGGCGGGCCAGGCGATCGAGGATGCGCTCTTTCTCTCGAATCTGCTCTCGCATCCGCGCGTCAAGGCCCAGAATCTCACCCAGGCGCTCGGGGCGTACGACAGGATCCGCGTGCCGCGCGCCAACCGCGTGCTGGAATCGAGCCTCGAGGCGGGCGACACCTACGAGTTCCGCGGCGTCGCAGCCGACGACCCGGCCAAGCTGGGTGAGCACCTGGTGGAGCGCTTCGACCACATTTGGGACTACGATTTGGACAAGGAGAAGCAGCAGATGGAAGAGTGGCTCGACGCCAACCTCTGAGTCACGGCACGGCGCACAGTGGCTGGCCAGTTGTCATGCTTGGAATCCAGAGATTGTCTAGAACGGAATTCTTACCGTGCATTGCAGTATGTACAGATGAGTTCGCTCTCGAGAGGCGCAGCGGCCATGGCTGTGTTGTTTTTGTTCACACGGTCTGTGTGAGTGGGAGGAGAAGGTGGAAGAGGTCAGCTGGCGGGCGCCAAGGTGAGCATGTGGGGTAGGAGCTGCAGAGAGACGTACCTCGACACCGGTGTACTCGCTCGATACGGGGGGTTCGATGAATGCGGCGTGACCGAGGATGAGGAAGGCGGAGCTGCCTACGAGCCAAAAGACGAATCCAAAGGGGCTGGCGAACCAGAGCATGAGGCCGCCGACGACAAAGAGGCCGGTGTAGAGGCTCTTTTGGGTGATGACGTGCTCGCCCACCTGCATGGGTTCGGGCGCGAAGCGGTTGATGGCCCAGAAGCCGGCGACGAGGAAGACGAGCGCAAAGAGGAGCAGCATGTCGTTGATCATGCCGTACACGGTCAGCAGGGCGACGACGACGGCATAGTTGCCCGAAAAGTGGCGCGTGTTGTACGTGATGCGCTGGAAGGCTTCGTTGGTGTCCTGCGGGCGCGAGATACGCTGGTGGTCAAAGAACTCGCTCAGCGGACGCAGCGACGAGAGACGCTCCTGACGCATGCTGCGGATCCGCTCGGGGACTGTGGATGAGCATCGAGCGGAGCGGAGCGTGTCAGCAGCGTGCGCGCACAGTTCGTTGGGCAGTCAATGCATGCGCTACTTACTCTTCATGGCTATGTCCAGTACCTGCGCCATGGTTGCGAATGTGGATCGATCGTAGAAGCTCGACAGATGATGGCGGAAGAGGGTGCAATGAGCCCGGACAGCGCCGTGCTTCTATCTGCTGCTGCAGGCACCAGTCGGAACTCGGCTGAGCTACACGTCCATCATCCGCAGGGCTCAAACCGCCGCCGCTCTGCAACGGCACAGCCAACAAGGCGCCTCGGCCCTTCAATCCAACCGACTCACAGCTGCTGCTGGCACTCTCTCCCTCCTCCCTCTCTATCTGCATGCACTCTTCTGCCCGTCTGGCTGCCCGCGCTCGGCGTGCTGAGCTGGAAGAAATGCAGGCGCGTCGCACTGGGCGCGAAGAGATACAGTGTTGGACCGTCACTTCCAACAAATTCTGCTTTCGCGGCTGCAACGGCGCTCCTTCACGCCCAACGACCCGATGCCGTGTTGGAAGCAGTGTTGAGACCGGTGACATGATGATTGCGCTCGTGATAAAAATACAATACTCGACGGCCTAAGGAGAAGATGATACTGAGAAAGGAAAGAGGGAGAGAGAGAGAGAGAGAAGCTACAGCGGAGGAAGCTCCTGCACTCGGCTGCGTGGACTCGCGATGGGGCTCGATACAGCCAGCGATGCCGACGTTCGCGGGGCAGGCGGTGACAGCACCAAGCTGTGGAGCAGCTCCAGCACGTTGGCGTCGGCCGCACCCGCCGTCATCCTGCTGCGCACCATGTCGAGCGTCAGCGACGACACCGCATTCTGGATGCGCCTCGTGAGCTGCTCCAGGATCCCCGCCAGCTCCTCGTCCGTCGCATCGTCGCGGATGCTGTAGATCAGCAGCTCCGGTCGCATGTTGAGCATCGCCTCGACTCCCTTGCGTCGTGCCTGATGCGACAGCACACGCTTCGCCCCCTCCTCGCCTTCACCAACGCGCGCTTCGCCATCCAGCGGATTGCGCGTCGCCTCGCCCGACGGCGTCGAGGGCTGCGACCGATGCTCCGCCTCCTCGTGATCCTGCGCCGCAAGGATGCCCGGGCACACGGTCGAATTGGACAGATACTCGAGCCGCAGGCACAGCATCCCCACCTGCTTGACGTCTTCAATGTCGAGCAGCTGCACCGTAGGCTCGTACACCTGCGCACGCGGCGCATCCAGCGCATCGTCCGTCTTGGCCTGCTCCAGTCGCCCCGCAAGCTGCTTCGGATACACCAGCCACAGCATCTCGGGCGTCTCGAGCCCCTTGAGCCGACGCTCCCCCAGCTGCGAGAGTCCAAAGCCCATCCGACGCAGCAGCACCACGTCCCGGCTCACGTTCGGATTCAGCAGCCGGAAGGCATCCTCGTCCAGCTCCTCCTCCGTCTTGGCCGCCTGCTCCCCTGGCCCTTCGCCTTGACCTTCGCCACCAGACCCGGCCGCGAGCGTATCGTCAAACGTTCCCAGCAACCCTTGCAGCTCCTTGATCACGTCCTTGCTCGCCAGGATCTGGCCGCCATCGGCCGCACCGCTGATCCTCGCCGCCCGATTCACCATGGGGCCAAAGTAGTCCATGCGTCGCGTGATCGGATCCGCCTCGCACACAGGACGGCCCCAGTGGATGCCCATGCGCACCGACAGGCCTCGGTGGATCAGCTCGCCCGAACTGTCGTACACCTCCTTGCCATCCTCGCTCTCCAGGATCTCGCGCGGCCAGTCCTCGTGCAGAAGCTGCTGCTGCACCGTAAAGCACCACAGCAGCGCCGCACTCACCGACGGGAACGACACCATGAACGCATCGCCTTCCGTCTTCACCTCGTAGCCGCCGATCGTGCGCAGCTGCCTTCGAAGCAGATAGTTGTGCAGCCGCATCGCCGTCTGCATCCCGTTGTTCGTCTCCCACAGCGACGTCGAATTCTTGATATCCGTGAATACCAGCGCAACCTGCCCGATCGGCGGCGCCACCTCGCGATCCAGCCGCGCCAGCGTCCGGTCGCTCGGCAGCTCCTCCCGGAAGCGTCGCCCGGCCTTCTTGATCGCATCGCTGTTCTGGTAGCTCGAGATGGTCAGCGTACCGCCGTTCCTCTGGTCCGACCGGTAGAACAGATCGCCCACCGAGATCACCATCACCATGATGCTCTCCTCGGCACCGTAGCTGATCGCAAAGTCCCGAAGCTTCTGCGCCGCGATCATCGGGTCGTTGCGCTGCGTGCGTGCAATGTCCACCGCCGTCTGGTACGACACGTACTGCCACAGCGTCCGGTTCGCAATGATCACAAACTCGTCCGAGTCCGTAAGCTGCACCGTCGTCACCGCAGGCGCCGCGTTCACGATGGGGAAGAGGTGGAAGTAGCCGAACGACCGCGACACGTCGAGCATGTCGTTCACATAGCCTCGCAGCGACACCCATCCTTCCGCCG